TTCTCAAACTCATGTCTATCTTTTGTTTTAACTTAAGGATTGTGTGTAGCTAAATTTTTAGTAGTTAGGGGCTGTTTTGAAGCCCCAAATATGATTGCAAGTTTGTTATGACATTTCGTATGAATTACTTTTATGAATGGATGAAAATTGGTTCACTACTTGTCTCATTGATGAATTCTTTATTTGTTTTCTATAGATGCATACATAGTAAGCATATCTAGGATTCTAATGCTATGAATATGTGTGTGCCTACCCTTGTCGAATGAGGACCTACATATGTTCTGGAGTAGTACTTGTTAATTGCGATTAACATGTGAACCAATTTCTAGGATAAGTAAAACAACGCCAGTACTTACGATGCCTTGTGATGACTCAAACTCTTTTCGTTCTTAATGATTTATACTTGTTAAATCTATGAACATGTCATTCTAGATTGCATGCTAGGGACTAAGTTAAGTTGAAAACGCCATTCTCTTAACATACTACATAAGAAAGAGTAATAGGTTGAGTTCTAACATTGAGCCAACTTGAGCATCTTCATTCGGAAATAAAAGGAATTTGAATGAAACATAACATGCTTGCATGATTATTTGGTGGTGGATAGCAATTCCCCTAACTCGTTTTTTTTTTTAATTTGTGAACTATTTAAAATTTGTTTCTGTCTTGTTTTTGTTCGATTTAATTTAAATAGCAAATGAACTCCAAAAATCGCAAACATTTGTGTGATCATAGCTCTGTGTGTCTAGTGTCTTCATGTAAAATTTCGTAGAATTTAGATAAGTGTAAGTTGGTCTAATAATTATTTTTTTGTGGTTGGTCAGTATGAACATCAACTAGTTTTTGTGACATTTTAAGTAGTTAGATAAAACAATCTTCTGCCGGAAAGACCCTTATTTTCATATGCTACAATTGACAAATCTTATTGTTAATAAGGAAAATCAATAGGACATTTGTGTGCTACTTTGTGGTGTGCTACTTTGTGGTGTGCTTTTAATCCTATCAAGTTGTGGTAACGGTGCCATAGACCTCGTCGCGGGTAGTGGTGACCGTGGTGGCTACCGCGGTGGTTGCCATGGTGGAGCCCAGTAACGATGGTGCCGCTCCTATGATCACATTTAGCCTCATGGATCGCCGTGGTCCCATTTTTTGAATATTGAAATTTTCACTTGTGGAATTTTCTAATTTTCTAGCCATTGTATTATTCTTTTACGTTTTATCAAAGAATCTTTGCAAATAAAAAAATTCTAATAATAAGAACGTGCGAAAAAATACAAGTAGACTAGAAAATAGAGAAAAACCTTTTTTATGCGAGAGTCTTCTACGAGTGTGGATTTCTTCTCTCAATGAAAGCACCAATTTGTGGATGCAAATTTCTTCCTCCTTGATCTTGGACAAAATTGCACCTACAAAACAATTAACACCTTTGGGTCAAGACCAAGAGTCTCACGCGCCCACGATGAATGGGGGAAGGGGCTTTGGCCGAAGAACCTCCGATGCCAAAGTTAGAATTTAGAGAGAAAAGTGTTTGGAGAGTATTGAGAACGTTGCAAGTATCTTGGAATGATATTTTGGTGAAAATGGGAGCCTATTTATAGGGATAGGGTGTAACTTATGGTTTATGTGTGATTTAATGGATTAATTAGGCAATTAATCCATTAATTGGTTAATCAACACATTTTTGGAATAAATATTTTGGGGGTTATGTAATTTATATGGGATGTTTTGAAGGTTATGAAATAATTACCTTGTTGAAAATATAGGATGAGGATGGATGAAATAACTTTGAACTTGTTACCTATTTTTCGGCACTTTTGATTTGGTTGAAGGATGATTGCCTGCTGCTTGCGCGTAGGAATCCCGTTGTACCTCAAGGGTATTTTTGTCATCTTTTATCCAAAAATCCACGTGTCGCCTTGTGATTATTTTTGGCTCTACAAAAACTGCATAAATCTGCACAACCCCAAGCTTGTTTCTTACCATGAAATCTAACCCTTCCGCATGCCACTTAATTATTTTCCTCCAAATTACGAAAGCATGTAAAAACATATAATATTGCATATATGTAGATGTAGTTGCAAGTTATACAGCGTTAATTTTGTACTAATATGATCATAGAAATAATTAAATATTTATTTTTTGCTTTGAATTTTCTACAGACGACAAGCCAAAATGGGGGAGGTGACTTGTGTATAATTCCTAATCTATTCTTAATTTGGGAATTGTCTTGGTCAAACCCATATTCAAAACTAATGAAAATAACTTGAAAACTTTGAGTTTTAATCAAAATGATAAAAAAATGTTGTAAGTGAATAGTATCATAAGTGACTTTTTGGAGTAAAAATGTCATTTTCGTTAAAAGTTAACAGTATCGGAAATATTTCGTTAAAACTCCCTTATAAATACCTACCTACATCTAGAGATAGGCCATATACATACAAACTAAGAACAATTTCCATTCAAAATATATGCTACAAATGGCAATTCCAAGGCTTCCACATATCTTACAGCTTTCAGTTCTTTTGGTTCTATCTACTTCATGGGCAACTTCAGCTTCAGCTGATCCTGAGAACTTTGTTCATTGCCTTCTAAACCATTCCCAAACTTCTCACCCAATTGCCCCAGCAATTTACTCTCCCAAAAATGCTTCCTACTCATCCGTTTTGGAATTTTACATCCAAAACCTCCGATTCAACACATCTACAACCCGAAAACCCTTCCTCATCCTCACTGCATTGCATGAGTCCCACGTGCAAATATCCGTTGTTTGTGCCCAGATCCATAACTTGCAAATGAAGATTAGAAGTGGAGGCCATGATTACGAGGGTGTATCGTACGTGGCTGTAGTTCCATTCTTCATCCTCGACATGTTTAATCTTCGGTCCATCCACGTAGACATCAAATCCAAAACTGCATGGGTCCAGGCGGGGGCTACTCTTGGTGAAGTTTCCTATAGAATTGCCGAGAAAAGCAAAACCCATGGCTTTCCCGCTGGTGTTGGCCCTACAGTTGGCGTTGGAGGCCACTTCAGTGGCGGTGGATATGGTAATATGATGAGAAAGTACGGCTTGTCAGTTGACAACATAGTTGATGCACAACTTGTGAATGTGCATGGTGAACTTCTTGACCGAAAATCGATGGGAGAAGACCTTTTTTGGGCCATTACAGGAGGTGGAGGAGCCAGCTTTGGAGTTGTGATCGCGTATAAAATTAATCTTGTACGCGTTCCAGAAATAGTTACTGTTTTCAAGGTTCCGAGAACCCTGGAACAAAATGCGACAGACATTGTCTACCGTTGGCAATATATCGCGGATAAACTTGACGATGACTTGTTCATCAGGCTTACCATGGGTGTTGTAAATGGTACTAGTTCAAATAGTAGTGGAGAAAACAATAAGACTTTTACGGCTTCATTTATTGCCATGTTTCTCGGAGACTCTGAGAGGCTCCTTTCAATCATGGACAAGAGCTTCCCTGAATTGCGTTTGACGCAATCTGATTGCACCGAAATGAGCTGGGCTCAATCTATGCTTTTCTGGTCGATATTGCCAACTGGGTCAGCTACTGAAGCTTTGCTTAATAGAACACAAGTGCGACGCTTTTTCAAGAGAAAGTCAGACTATGTCAAAAAACCAATTCCAAAAACTGGTTTGAAGTGGATTTTTAAGAAAATGATTGAGCTTGAGAAACCAAGGTTGACCTTTAACCCCTACGGCGGAAAAATGAGTGAGATATCGGCGTCGGCAACTCCATTTCCTCATAGAGCTGGGAATCTTTGGAAGGTTCAGTATGCAACAGACTGGGACATACCGGGGACCGAGGCATCAGATCATCATATTGAATTCACAAGAAAGCTCCACATGTACATGACTCCTTTTGTTTCCAAAAATCCAAGGGAAGCCTTTTACAACTACAAGGATCTTGACATTGGGATCAACCATAATGCTAATGGCATGTCAAGCTATTTGGAGGGGAGAGTTTATGGCATTAAGTACTTCAAGCATAACTTTGATAGGTTGGTGAATGTGAAGACCAAGGTCGATCCTGGTAATTTCTTTAGGAATGAACAAAGTATCCCTACTCTTCCACACTAAAGATGAAATAGTTATAACTAGCATTGTGATTGACTTGGTCATTGTTTAGCTCGTTTGTTATGTTTTTTTTAATGGATATCTTTAATATTGTTTGTAAAATAAAAAATTGTACTCTATGTTTTAATCAGCCAAAGAAATAAAAAAGAAGAAAGATATTCACTAGTACAAAAAACAGTTTGCGCGACACATGTACCTTCTTTGTGCAAAGTCAAAAAACGTTGCCTGAAAATTAGCCCAATGAAATCTTCGTCTCACGCAAAGCTAGTGAAACTAGGGTTTGCACGACGAAAGTGTAACTTGCATGATGCAAAAGATCTTTGCGCGACGAAGGTGTAACTTGTGTCGCACAAAAGTCTTTGCGCAACACAGGTACTTGTGTCGCTCAAACTCTTTTTTTTTTCTTTTTTTTACAAATTTTTTTTAAATTTTTTTTAAATTTTTTAATTAAATTATAAACAATAATTAATAAACCAAGAAAATGTATTTAATTATAAAATAGGGTAAATTACATAGTAGCCCCTCATGTTTGAGGTCTATTACAACCTCATACAACATCTTTAAAACATTTCACTTTCATACCTCAAGTACTATTTTATTTCAAAATAATACATCCGTTACATTTTCCATCTATTGATCTGTTAAGTGCTGACGTGGCTGCCAAATGTGTGCCATGTGGCAAAAATAATAATTTTTTTTTTTATTTTTTGAAAAATTTGAATCTTCTTAAAAAAAAAAAAAAAAAAGCAAAAGCAAAAGCTGAACCCCCCTTCCCCTCCACACACACCCACACACAAAAACCCAAAAACTTACACACCCCCTCTCCTAGACGACCCACCTCACCCCACCTCGCAGAGGCCCTTCCCGTCGCGGCACGACTACCCTCCCCCCCCGCGACGATAAGCTTCGGCGATGACAAGCTCTCGCGAACCTTGCCCTCGGCGACAAGCTCCTGTCGTCGAGCCACCTCCCTCTGCGGTCTGCGGTTCGTGGTCCTACGATAAGGAGTACGTGCTGAAGAGGAACTTTAGGGCTAGGGTTCTCAAGGCTGGGATGCCAGGTCGTCCTCACTCCAGAGCTTCAAGGAATGGTGGTTGCTGTCCCTAAGGTCAAACTCTTGGATTTATGTGTATGAATTGAGAAAATTGTTGTTTAATTTCATGATTTGAATATGTTGGAATGTTGTGGGTGAGGTTACAGATAAGAGAAGGGAGAAAAATGGTGGGGGTGAAGAGGAGAAAAGGCTCGGGGAAGGTGGGGGTGGGGTGGGTTTTTGGATGGGAGGGGAGGAGAAGAGAGTGGAGGAGAGGGAGGTGGTTAGGAGGGAGAAGAGGGGTAGGGAGAGGTTGCGGTGGTGGTTCTGCGTTTTCTAAGTTTTGGTTTTTTTTTTGTTTGTTTTGTTTTTTTAAGAAGATTCAGATTTTTCAAAAAAAAAAATTATTATTTTTGCCACGTGGCACACATTTGGCAGCCACGTCAGCACTTAACGGATCAATGGATGGAAAGTGTAACGGAGGTATTATTTTGAAATAAAATAGTACTTGAGGTATGAAAGTGCAATGTTTTAAAGATGTTGTATGAGATTGTAATAGACCTCAAACCTGAGGGGCTATTATGTAATTTATCCTATAAAATATATGAAAATGTACATACAAGATGTCTACAACAACAACAACAAAGCCTTTTCCCACTAAGTGGGGTCGGCTATATGAATCCTAGAACGCCATTGCGCTCGGTTCTGTGTCATGTCCTCCGTTAAATCCAAGTACTTTAAGTCTTTTCTTAGAGTCTCTTCCAAAGTTTTCTTAGGTCTTCCTCTACCCCTTCGGCCCTGAACCTCTATCCCGTAGTCGCATCTTCTAACCGAAGCGTTAGTAGGCCTTCTTTGCACATGTCCAAACCACCGTAACCGATTTTCTCTCAGCTTTCCTTCAATTTCGGCTACTCCTACTTTACCTCGGATATCCTCATTCCTAATCTTATCATTTCTCGTGTGCCCACACATCCAACGAAGCATCCTCATCTCCGCTACACCCATTTTATGTATGTGTTGATGCTTCACCGCCCAACATTCTGTGCCATACAGCATCGCCGGCCTTATTGCCGTCCTATAAACTTTTCCCTTGAGCTTCAGTGGCATACGACGGTTACACAACACGCCGGATGCACTCTTCCACTTCATCCATCCAGCTTGTATTATATGGTTGAGATCTCCATCTAATTCTCCGTTCTTTTGCAATATAGATCCTAGGTAGCGAAAGCAGTCGTTCTTTGGTATTTCCTGATCTTCGATCCTTACCCTTAACTCATTTTGGCCTCTATTTGCACTGAACTTGCACTCCATATATTCTGTCTTTGATCGACTTAGGTGAAGACCTTTAGATTCCAACACTTCTCTCCAAAGGTTAAGCTTCACATTTACCCCTTCCTGAGTTTCATCTATCAACACTATATCGTCTGCGAAAAGCATACACCAAGGAATATCATCTTGAATATGTCTTGTTAACTCATCCATTACCAACGCAAAAAGGTTAGGACTTAAGGATGAGCCTTGATGTAATCCTATAGTTATGGGGAAGCTTTCGGTTTGTCCTTCATGAGTTCTTACGACAGTCTTTGCTCCATCATACATATCCTTTATAACTTGGATATATGCTACTCGTACTCATTTCTTCTCTAAAATCCTCGAAAGAATGTCTCTTGGGACCCTATCATACGCTTTCTCCAAATCTATAAAGACCATGTGTAAATCCTTTTTCCCATCTCTATATCTTTCCATCAATCTTCGTAAGAGATAGATTGCCTCCATGGTTGAGCGCCCTGGCATGAACCCGAATTGGTTGTCCGAAACCCGTGTCTCTTGCCTCAATCTATGCTCAATAACTCTCTCCCAGAGCTTCATTGTATGACTCATTAGCTTAATACCCCTATAGTTCATGCAATTTTGTACGTCGCCCTTATTCTTGTAGATAGGCACCAAAGTGCTCTTTCGCCACTGATTTGGCATCTTCTTCGTGTTCAAAATCTTATTGAAAAGGTCAGTGAGCCATGCTATACCTGTCTCTCCCAAGACTTTCCACACTTCGATCGGTATATCATCTGGGCCCACTGTTTTTCTATGCTTCATTTTTTTCAAAGCTACAACCACTATTTCCTTCCTGATTCAACGGTAAAATGAGTAGTTTATACACTCTTCTGAGTTACTCAACTCCCCTAAAGAAGTACTCATTTCATGTCTTTCATTGAAAAGATTATGAAAATAACCTCTCCATCTGTCTTTGACCGCGTTCTCTGTAGCAAGAACCTTTCCATTCTCATCCTTGATGCACCTCACTTGGTTTAGGTCCTTTGTCTTCTTTTCCCTTGCTCTAGCTAGTTTATAGATATCCAACTCCCCTTGTTTGGTATCTAGTCGCTTATACATATCGTCATAAGCCGTTAACTTAGCTTCTCTCACAGCTTTCTTCGCCTCTTGCTTCGCTCTTCTATACCTTTCACAATTTTCATCGGTCTTATCCTTGTACATACAAGATGTATGAACATAAAAAAAAAACTACAAGGTAGAGCAAGATCAGGTGCTAACATCAGGATTTGGAGGCCAGACATCTGTAAGGCCCGTAAGATCATACTCATCTTATCGTCCTGGGTCGAAAACTGGGCTTCCCGGGTCGCAATCTTACCTTTTAGGATGAGAAAAAGGAAGAGAAACCACATGAGGTATGTGATAAAAAGACAGAGGAAGTAGCTAGAGAGAATGAGAAGGAAGCGGAAGAAGGCGAGGAGGTGAAGAAATCGGAAGATGGTTGTGAAGTAGTAGACAAGGATATCTCTCTTTGGGGAGTGCCACTTTTCCTGGGTAAGGGTTTTGAGGGCATTGATGTTGTTTTCTTGAAGTTCTTAAGGGCTAGGGAGTTCAAGGTTAATGAGGCTTTTGAGATGCTGAAGAAAACCCTTCAATGGCGGAAGGAGTCCAAGATCGATTCGATTTTGGATGAGGATGTCTGTGCCGATCTGAGCTTTGCCGCTTACTTGAACGGCGTTGATCGCGAAGGCCACCCCGTTTGCTACAACATTTTTGGGGTTTTCGACAACGAGGAGCTCTATCAGATGACTTTTGGAAATGAGGAGAATGGAGGGCAATTCCTAAGGTGGAGGCTCCAGCTGATGGAGAAGAGCGTACAGAAGCTTGATCTGAGGCCTGGTGGTGTCACTTCTCTGCTTCAGATCAACGACCTCAAGAACTCTCCCGGTCCGGTGAAGAAGGAGCTCCGGATTGCCACAAAGCAAGCTGTTGGGCTTCTGCAGGACAACTACCATGAGTTGGTTGCCAAAAAGGTAAGTCTTTTTTCACATTTTCGCTTCAGAAATCGAATTTATTTGCGATTATTTAGCATGACTTGGATAGAATTTTGACGGGTTTTATATGGTTTATGATGATCTGCAGATCTTCATAAATGTTCCTTTCTGGTATTATGCACTTAATGCATTGCTATCTCCTTTCTTGACTCAAAGAACCAAGAGCAAGTTCGTCGTTGCTCGCCCCGCGAAGGTCACTGAAACCCTTCTCAAGTAAGTGATTTCCCTGACTTTTTATACGTTGCTGAATTTAACGGCACGATGTGCGCTGAAATATCTAAGAGAACTTGACGGTGTATCTGAACCGCTTAAAAGGCAATGTATATAGTATAGGGGAATGTTTTGATATTATCTGATGCTTACACAAATGAGCTGTGATTGTCCACAACAGGTACATTCCAACTCAGGAGATACCTGCTCAGTACGGTGGTTTCAAGAGGGACAACGACAGCGAGTTTTCTGCCGAAGATGGCGCTGATTTATGTTTTGTTAGATTGTTTTTCCTCATGAGCTTTTCTATAAATCGATAATTTTAATGGTGTTTGATAGCAGGTTTGTAGCACATTACTGTGGGACTTGACTGTTTTAGGATGGGAAGTGAATTACAAGGAGGAATTTGTTCCAACTGATGAGGGGTCGTACACCATTATTGTTCAGAAGAAGAAGAAAATGGGGTCTAACGAAAGCCCAATTCGCAACACTCTCCGAAGAAACGAACCCGGGAAGGTTGTCCTGACAATCGAGAACAATTCGCGCAAGAAGAAGAAGGTTCTGTACCGGTACAAGGCCAAGAAGTGCTCCACCTTATGAGAGAAAGAGTTGAACCGCAAAAGGTTGCAACAACAACAACAACAAAGCCTTTTCCCACTAAGTGGGGTTGGCTATATGAATCCTAGAATGCCATTGCGCTCGGTTTCGTGTCATGTCCTCCGTTAGATCCAAGTACTCTAGGTCTTTTCTTAGGGTCTCTTCCAAAGTTTCCTAGGTCTTCCTCTACCCCTTCGGCCCTGAACCTCTGTCCCGTAGTCACATCTTCGAACTGGAGTGTCAGTAGACCTTCTTTGCACATGTTCAAACCACTGTAACCGATTTTCTCTCATCTTTCCTTCAATTTCGGCTACTCCTACTTTACCTCGGATATCCTCATTCCTAATATTATCCTTTCTCGTGTGCCCACACATCCAACAAAGCATCCTCATCTTTGCTACACCCATTTTGTGTACGTGTTGATGCTTCACCGCCCAACATTCTGTGCCATTCGGGGTCTCTATCTAATTCTCCGTTCTTTTGCAAGATAAATCCTAGGAAGCGAAAATGGTCACTCTTTGGTATTTCCGTGTCTCATGTCCTCACCCCTAACTCATTTTGGCATCCATTTGCACTAAACTTGCACTCTATATATTCTGTCTTTGATCGGCTTAGGCGAAGACCTATAGATTCCAACATTTCTCTCCAAAGGTTAAGCTTCGCATTTACCCCTTCCTGAGTTTCATCTATCAACACTATATCGTCTGCGAAGGCATACACCAAGGAATATCATCTTGAATATGTCCTGTTAACTCATTCATTACCAATGCAAAAAGGTAAGGACTTAAGGATTGTTGATGCACAAAATCAGTGAGGACTTTGGTGCAACAGAAAGTATTTAAGTTTGTGACCTTCGCTAGATTGCTCTGGTCATTAGTGTGGATAAGTATGTAAAAGGATAGAGATAGGAAAGCAAAACACAAGATGTACGTGGTTTACCCAGATTGGCTACGTCCACGGAGTAGAGGAGTTCTCATTAATTGTGAAGGGTTTACACATAGGTTCAAGCTCTCCTTTAGTGAGAACAAGTGAATGATTTAGTACAAATGATCTTCTCTGGGAGTACTCTTCCTCCATCCAGGGGTGGTATCTTTAACCGGTGGAGATGCACAAGGTAATGTATCAATTTCACTTGAAGCTTACTTGTAGTTTCAGGCTTGGTCAAGCGCGATACAAACCATGTAGTAAGAGTCCCCCAAGTCGCCGAGTTAGGAGATCTGCTGAAAAATGTGGCAGACAAGGTAAACAATCAACGCTCTAAGCAATCAGTCCCAGATCAGAAGTTTGATTTCGAGTTCCGGCTGATTGTTCTCATTCTCCCTATCTTGCAGGCATCATGAAGGATAAAGAGAAGAAAAAGGAGGAGAGATGATATGAGATACTTTTGCTTTTGAAGAAGTAACTTTCCACATGCTTATTCTTGAACTTGGTTGGAGGGTTTTATGGTTTCCTCCAGAGTATAAGGCCGACTGAAGAATTTGAGGGTCAAAACAAGTCCATCAAATCTAGAGTACGTTCGACCCTGATGATATGGGATACTTTTGCTGTTACGCTTGTCTCCACATGCTTCCTTGTATCCTTCTCACTTGCCCTATTTGTTTCTCAGGCAGATGTGGTATCTTCTCTGGAAGCATAAGATGTTGAAGATGAGTACTCGAGAGCAATGCCAGGTAAGTAATCAGGTAAGGGGTTCCAGGCAGTCAGTTCCTGACTGGAAGCTTGATTCCAAGTGCTGACTGATTGCTCTATTTCTCCTTGTCTTGCAGGTAAGAACAATGCCAAAGGAAAAGATAAGGAAAAAGCATGATATGGGATACTCTTGCTTTTAACCCTGATGATATGAGATATTCTTGCTCTGGTGTAGCTTGTTTGCAGAGGTATTATCAGGGGGAAAGAAGGATGAGTATTTCGAGAGGCTTTGTTGGGAGTGCCCTATCAGATATGAGGAAGGGTTGAGCATTTTTGCAGGTCTGCCTGTCCGTTGGGGATGGAGGTCGACATATATAGGAGTCTCCCTAACAACAAGTAGTAAGGCTATTCCTTTACTCTTCTTGGTCATAGCCATGTAGTGGGAGCTTCAAGCTTCACGTGTTTTAACTTTGTCAGAGTACTTTGAAAAAGTAGTCCTGTCGGGGATCTGGCTCTCGAGATTCGGAGAACGGTGCCTCTTCGATTTTTGAGAAAGCAATCCTACTGGGAGTCTGGTTCTTGAGGTCATAGCAATGTAGTGGGAGCTGCAAGCTTTATGTGTTTTAACTTTGTCAGAGCACTTTGAAAAAGTGGTCTGTGGTATCTGGAAAGCTGATGTTGCGTGTGAAGATTACAGACAAGCTTTATCCAAGGAAATCTGGCTCTTGCGTGTCACGTGCTTTCTACTTCACCAGAAATCTTCGACAGATTGCCCGTAATTTTCGTAAAGCTGAGTGTGTATGTGACGGGTACTGACAAGGCTGAAAAAGTAGGTGCCTCTTCGATTTCTGAGATCGGCCATCGTGGTTTCTGAGCAAGCCCAGCTTTTGAGAAAGCAAGCGCTGCTTCGATTTCTGAGATCAACTCCTCGACAAATTGCCCGTGATTTCTGCAAAGCTAGGTGTGCATGTGGCTGATGTTGCGTGTGGAAAGTGGTGCCTCTTCAATTTTTGAACCAACGGCCATGTTGCTCTTTCTTTGCTATTCTTTTACCCATCTTGGTCATAGCAATGTAGTGGGAGCTGCAAGCTTCACGTGTCTAAACTTTGTCAGAGATCTTTGGTAAAGTTATCTGTGGTACCCATGAGCTGATGTTGCGTGTGCCTCTTCGATTTTTGAACCAACGTCCATGTTGCGTGTCACGTGCTTTCTACTTCACCAGAAATCTTCGACAGATTGCCCGTAATTTCCGCAAAGTTGAGTGTGCATGTAACAGGTACTGACAAGGCTGAAAAAGTGGGTGCCTCTTCGATTTCTGAGATCGGCCCTCGTGGTTTCTGAGCAGGCGCAACTTTTGAGAAAGCAAGCGCCGCTTAGATTTCTGAGATCAGCTCATCGACAAATTGCCCGTGATTTCTGCAAAGCTAAGTGTGCATTCTTCGATTTCTGAGCAGGCTCATCTTCTGATAAAGCAGACGCCTCTTCTGAGAAAGCAGGTGCCTCTTCGATTTCTGAAGCTCCGTCGCGTGCTGCTTTTTATAGAGGTATGCATTACGTTTCAAAGCACACTTGCATTGCCACATGTAGAAATTCCCTTCTTGCACTTCTGAAATCTTGATTTGTCTGACCTATTCTTTAACACCTCAGGAAAATGGCTGGCCTCTCTGACCGTCGTTTTGACTTGAACTTTGGTGAAGAGGTGGACATACCTTCTCAAGACAACATATGGCGCCCATCCTTCATATCTCCTACTGGTCCTTTTACCGTTGGGGATTCGGTGATGAAGAATGATATGACCGCTGCGGTGGTGGCCAGGAACCTTGTCACTCCCAAAGATAACAGACTACTTTCCAAATGGTCTGATGAGTTGGCTGTTAAGGATTCTCTGGCTCTCAGTGTGCAGTGTGCAGGTTCTGTGTCTAATATGGCCCAACGCCTATTTGCTCGAACCCGTCAAGTTGAATCATTGGCGGCTGAAGTGATGAGTCTCAAACAGGAGATTAGAGGGCTCAAGCATGAGAATAAACAGTTGCACATGCTCGCACATGACTATGCTACAAACATGAAGAGGAAGATTGACCAGATGCAGGAATCTGATGGTCAGATTTTACTTGATTATCAAAGGTTTGTGGGTTTGTTCCAAAGGCATTTGCCTTCGTCTTCTAGGGCTGTACCGTGTAATGAAGCTCCAAATGATCAACCTCCGATGCTTCCTCCTTCTAAGGTTCTGTCCAGTACTGAGGCTCCGAATGATCACCCTCTGGTGCCTTCTCTTTCTGGGGCTCTACCGACTGCTGAGACTTCTCCTAAGCAACCTTTGTGAAGGCTCCCTCTTGTTTGTTTATTTTGGCTCATGTACATGTACATAGTTGTAACTTATCAGAGATATCAATAAATAAACTATGCTTCATTTCAACGTATTGTGTTAAATACACCAATGCCTTCTGCACTAAGTTCTTTGAATTTTTTCTTTTGTTGAAGCTTGTATGTTGAAGCTTTGTGAGTGAAGCATGTAGGTTGAGGTAGGGTTCCCTTAATTTCCCGAGTGAGGAAAACTTCTCGGTTGAAGACTTGAAAAATCCAAGTCACTGAGTGGGGTCGGCTATATGAATCCTAGAACGCCATTGTGCTCGGTCCTGTGTCATGTCCGCCGTTAGATCTAAGTACTCTAAGTCTTTTCTTAGAACGTTATCTTACATTGCCAAAATCGTCAATTTTTTTGTTCAGAACGTTGTTAAGTTTTGGAAGACATAAGTAAAAGAATGGGGAGTAGAAAAAGAAAAAACAGAAGACCAAAATCGTCAATTGGATTCATATAGGACTGAAGAAGAACTAAAAGAGCTTGAAATGTGATAGCTTAAAGGATTTAGGAATTTTGTGTTCAAAGGCTCTGACTTCGAATCCAATTGAAGGGGAAGTGGAATCCGTTGAATCCGTCTACGGTGGTTTGCATAGTTTAATTTTGCGTTTTGGTAATTTTAAGGGTATATTAGTATTTTTATGTCAACTTTTGGTTATAATTATCATAAATTTAAAAGGGTGACTATAATTCTATATGAGGTACAAATTGTGGTTATTTTTCCAAATACAAAACAGTTGAACTCTCAGTTAACCAAGAGCACTGGGATGGAGCCTACTCTAGCCGAAGGGTGGCTTTGCTGCCTAACTCAATAATTTAATGTATGTTAAAGCAATGAAACGTATATTGAAGTAAGAAATGAATGACAACTTTTAAATTTTGTTTACACTGAAGAAATTAAACGTACTAGTCATGAATAAACATTAAGATTAGAAAGATTAGGTTTCTTTTCTGACTAATCCATTTTTTACCTTTAATTTGGACCAAATTTGATAGTTTTTCTACAATAGCAGAATATCTTAACCAAATTGCACATCATGTCTTTGTGAGTCTTCCCGACCCCGACCTTGGAAAGAATGGACTGTTGTGGCGAAGCCCTTAGTTGGTTCTTTAGAAAGAAAAAAAAAGGATTGCACATCATGAAGGTCTAATACGTAGACCAAAATAGGATCATACAAGAAGTATACAGAGGCTGCAACCGATATACTTTTCACATTGGGTGCGCGTCTGCTGTTATAGAATTCTAGTCTACAATGACAACCTCACCACTTGAACTGGGTTGAATCCTACCATCGATCCCATATGTAATGTGATGAAATTGAGGTTTCACCATAAAATCAATTGGTAATATAGGGAGTAGCCCAAGACCATATAAGCATATAGCAAACCTTGTCCTTCACCGATGTGGGACAACTCTCAACACGCCCCCGCACGTGTGGCAGATTTTCAAGCCTACACGTGGACAACAACTGGGTGACGTGGAGCGCGTGTGGCCGTTTGGCTTCACACGAGGACAACTTGGCTCTGATACCATGATGAAATTGAGGTTCTACCATAAAACCAATTGGCAATATGGAGAGTAGCCCAAGACTATATAAGCACATAGCAAATCTTGTCCCTAACCAATGTGGGATAACTCTCAACATGATGAAATTGAGGTTCCACCATAAAACCAATTGGCAATATGGAGAGCAGCCCAAGACCATATAAACACATAGCAAACCTTGTCCCTTACCGATGTGGGATAATTCTCAACACGCCCTCGCACATGTGGCGGATTTTCAAGCCTACACGTAGACAACAATTGGGTGACGTGGAGCGCGTGTGGCTGTTTGACTTCACACGAGGACAACCCGCTTTGATACCATGATGAAATTGAGGTTCCACCATAAAACCAATTGGCAATATGAGGAGTAGCCCAATACCATATAAGCACATAGCAAACCTTGTCCCTCACTAATGTGGGACAACTCTCAACATAATGAACCAATTTTGGTACAATTTAGAAAATGATTGACTATTAGAAAAAACTTGACTAACTGCAAATTTGTACGTGCCTTTATATTGTTTTGAGGTATTTGTTGATTTGTTTCTCGAACTTGTAAGGAAAAGTTAGTTTGTTTTCATGAGCTTTAATTTTAGCCAATTACTCAGAACTTTTATAATTGACCAATCTTCTCCCTTAACTTTAATTTTAGCCGATTATCCACTTGAACTTTTATAATTGGCCAATTTCCCCCCTAAACTTCAATTTTAGTCGATTACCCCACTTGAACTTTTATAATTAGCTAATTTTTCCCATAAACTTTAATTTTATAATTGCAAAAAAGGTAATTTCATTCTAATTGGTTTTTTCTTTTTCTTCTCTTCCGCTAGTTCAACATACACTTTTTGTTTGAATTTTAGGATGGAAGTTAAAGTGAGAGAGGAAAATGACCAATTATATAAGTTTAGTGGAATAATCGGCTAAAATTAAAATTAAAGGAATAAATTGACCAATTATAAAACTTTATGAGTAAACTAAATTCAAAATATTAGAAAAAAAATTGACAACTCTTTACAAGTTCAGAAGAGGAGAAGAGAAATCTGCTAGTACCTCTGTTGTTTATTATTCACGTTCAAATCTAGAAAGAAGAAATTATTTTGTTGCGGAAAGAAGTTGCATGGTGGAAAATTCCATTTCATACTATTTTCCGTATGTCTATATAAAGTTTGATGGAAGGGAGTCTGTGGCTACTTTTATTGAAAAATAACGCGGAGGATGCAGCCATTTCGGCAGCCACAAAGATTATTTCGTCCTCACCACAAACACAAAAGAGTTTATCCACAAAAATGAGGATTTGCGTCTCCACATACTCCACTCCATCGTGCATGGCCACATATCACATTAAATCAAATTTATGGGTTATCTAGTGATGTCTGCATGCTCTCATGTATACGTACCTTGATATCAAAATAAAAAGAGCAATAAGTCAACGAGGGTTAGTCGAGTTGGTAAAGATCGTTTCGCTAGATTAAGGTCTAAGTTTGAGTTCCGTTGCCAGCAAATTTTCTTGATAGGCAATATGTAAAAACTAAAATATGAGCTAAAACTCATTCTGTAAGTTCACAAAGAGACTTATTGCATGCCTTGACCTTGGGATGGGATAACATCCCCTATCCCCAAACTTTTCTTAACAAAAAAAAAAATAGTAAGAGCAATAAAAGGTTTTATTATTATTTTCTTTTGCGTGTATTGTCAACTAGCTTCCAGAAATAATGCACAGCAGTTTGAAATTCAATTTACACGCAATAATATTTGAGATGTTCCCTGGTGATCTTCATTCTTTATAAAAAAAAAAAATAGAAAACAAAATACTAATTAGCAGAAAGTAGTCTCGAACTTGAGTGTAAGACATGTTTACCAATTCAACCAGAGGACTTAGATTTTCATTTTTTTAATTTGATCGAATATAGGGATTGAATTATTTACTAATAATTCATTTATATTTTATTTTGAGAATTTTTATTTAGCAATTAAGCATGGTTTGATTTTATTTTGCGTGACGCAGCGTTTGAGTTTTAAGCAACGTGTCTCACTTAGTATTATTCTCTCATTAGCATAAGTTGACATGAACCCAGATTAATCATTTAATAATATTTCCGAGCTCCAAAGGATTCTTCTAGCCTGGTCAGTGATAATATATTTGACTTTTATCTAGTTTATGGTTTGTTTGACTATTTTGCTGTGCTTTTTTTTTTTTTTTTTCTGACGGTCTAAAAGATTCACATATGCATTTCAGCCTTCTTTGGCCACAAGCGTAACTTCCACACCAGCAACAAGTTTAGAACCCAAGACCTTCGATTTTTAGTTTGAAAAACGTTTTAAAATCAGTCATTTATCATTAGACCATCCGTTCGGATTATTATTTTGTTGTGCTTTGACTGATGCAAAACTCTCTTGGCAGCGCAGATTTTGCATTAATTAATAAGTGGAAAACGGATAACGTTGGTGACATATATCGTAGTTATCTGCCTAACGATCTGGTTTAGTTGATAGATTCTTGATCACAAAAAGTAATGGAAATAAGCGAGTATAACATCGTAACGTAATCATATACGTACTTGATCAGATGTAGAGTTTGACCGCTATAGCTGTGCAAGTACGTGTTTGACTGCTATTTGATTTTTTTTATGTTACATTTTGATGAATCGATGTACGCGATCCATGTGATTTTTTAAGAAGAAATTGTAATAATAATTTCTTAACTTTAATTGAGACGGAGCAATGTTTTTTCAATTAAAAATTCATGATGAACCACGTGTTGGAACTTCCGTCAAAATAAGCCACGTGTCGCGCATGTGAGGTTGAATCAAAGGACAAATATGAAAAACAAAATAAAAAAAATTGTAGCAATTGTCGTTTAACTTTAACATGTTGGAGTAATAGTTCATCAACTTTAACCTAATTGGAGCATGGTCCTCCAACTTTAACCTAATTGTAGCAACGATTCTTCTACCATGACTCATTTTGACGGAAATTCTGACAGAGTTGACGAAAATGACCATAACTGCACATATTGATCATGAGTTAAGGGTTAATGATGACAAATCCCAGCAAGTGAATGTGTATGTAAGCACTCGTCTTCGAATGGTGATTATATGAAGGAAAGGATCTGGACCTTCCACTCTTGTCCTTATGGCTGTGTTTTTATTGTAGCAGTAGGAAAAACCAAGATGGATATTCATCCAAGACAATGGAAAAGCAACAAAAAATAAAGACAGTTAAACTTGGAGTTTCCATCAAAAGCCAAAGGAAACTGCACAAATCTGCACAGCCCCAAGCTAGTTCCTTACCATGAAATCTAACCCTTCCGCATGCTACTTAGGCCATCTTCAACCGAAGAAGGATTAAAGGGCTATGTTTAGCCTTATAGTTCTGCAAGAAATTATATTTTAATGAACAGTGTCAGCCCATATTTTATACTATCACCAACCGAAGGGGCCAAAGGGCCATAGGCTAAACATAACCCTTTGACAAAAAACCATCTCTAACCAAGGGGGGGGGGCAAAGGGCCATAGGCCAAACATAATTTATTATTTTAATTGAATAGTTAATTAAATTAAACTACCATATTAAAATAAAAGTTTCCGACATATTAAAAGATTATTGAAAGAGGTGGCCATTTGAAAATTATTGAAAAAATTAAAAGAAAGATTATTGGAAGAGAATAGAATGTGAAGAATTGAAATAAAATGAGGTAAGATAGTATGAAATGATTAAAAGTATGTGAGAAATGGTGTAGGAAAAAAAATTCATCCAAAAAAATAAAAATAAAGTGGGCTGGGCTCATCGGGTTGGCTTGTTGGCTGGAAATGGCCATCCCACTGGCCTGATTTGGTGGTTTTGGCCCGGTAGGGCCCACAAGTCCTTTGGCCTAACCCTCAGTTGGAGACGGTTTTTATGTCATTTCGAACTATTTTTAGCCTTATAACCCTTTGGCCTGGTCGGTTGGAGATGACCTTAATTATTTTCCTCCAAATTACAAAAGCATGTAAAAACATATAATATTGCATATATGTAGATGTAGTTGCAAGTTATAAGAATGAGGATCCTCTCCGATCCTCTTTGTGAGGATCCTAAGATTCTCAAATCGTGTTCGTTCATTATACATCGTGCGGTTAGAAATCATTTTAAATACTTTTATTTAAAATTAAATATGAATAGTATCTGATGAAAACTAACCGTATAATGTACGATTAACAAACATGATTTGAGAATTTTTAGGATCCTCATTCAAGTTATACAACCTTAATTTTGTACTAACATGATCATAGAAATAATTTAATTTTTATTTTTTGCTTTGAATTTTCTACAGACGACAGGTCAAAATGGGGGAGGTGACGTGCATAATTCCTAATCTATTCTTAATTTGGGAAATTGTCTCGGTCAAAACCATATCCATTATAAATACCAACCTACATCTAGAGATAGGTCATATACATACAAACGAAAAACAATTTCCATTCAAAATATATGCTACAAATGGCAATTCCAAGGCTTCCACATATCTTTCAGCTTTCAGTTCTTTTGGTTCTATCTACTTCATGGGCAACTTCAGCTTCAGCTGATCCTGAGAACTTTGTTCATTGCCTTCTAAACCATTCCCAACCTTCTCACCCAATTGCCCCAGCAATTTACTCTCCCAACAATGCTTCCTACTCATCCGTTTTGGAATCTTACATCCGAAACCTCCGATTCAACACATCTACAACCCGAAAACCCTTCCTCATCCTCACTGCATTGCATGAGTCCCACGTGCAAATATCCGTTGTTTGTGCCCAGATCCATAACTTGCAAATGAAGATTAGAAGTGGAGGCCATGATTACGAGGGTGTATCGTACGTGGCTGAAGTTCCATTCTTCATCCTCGACATGTTTAATCTTCGGTCCATCCACGTAGACATCAAATCCGAGACTGCATGGGTCCAGGCTGGGGCTACTCTTGGTGAAGTTTACTATAGAATTGCCGAGAAAAGCAAAACCCATGGCTTTCCCGCTGGTGTTTGCCCTACAGTTGGCGTTGGAGGCCACTTCAGTGGCGGTGGATATGGTAATATGATGAGAAAGTACGGCTTGTCAGTTGACAACATAGTTGATGCACAACTTGTGAATGTGCATGGTGAACTTCTCGACCGAAAATCAATGGGAGAAGACCTTTTTTGGGCCATTACAGGAGGCGGAGGAGCCAGCTTTGGAGTTGTGATCGCGTATAAAATTAATCTTGTACGAGTTCCAGAAATAGTTACTGTTTTCAGGGTTTCGAGAACCCTGGAACAAAATGCGACAGACATTGTCTACCGTTGGCAATATATCGCGGATAAACTTGACGATGACTTGTTCATCAGGCTTACCATGGATGTTGTAAATGGTACTAGTTCAAATAGTAGTGGAGAAAACAATAAGACTCTTAGGGCTTCATTTATTGCCATGTTTCTCGGAGACTCTGAGAGGCTCCTTTCAATCATGAACAAGAGCTTCCCTGAATTGGGTTTGAAGCAATCTGATTGCGCCGAAATGAGCTGGGCTCAATCTGTGCTTTTCTGGACGAGCTTCCCAACTGGGACATCTACTGAAGCTTTGCTTTCTAGAACACCTCAAGTGCTTACACGCTTGAAAAGAAAATCAGACTACGTCAAAAAACCAATTCCAAAAACTGGTTTGAAGTGGATTTTTCAGAAAATGATTGAGCTTGAGGCACCAATGTTGACCTTTAACCCCTACGGCGGAAAAATGAGTGAGATATCGGCGTCGGCAACTCCGTTTCCTCATAGAGCTGGGAATCTTTGGAAGGTTCAGTATGCAACAAACTGGGACATACTGGGGACCGAGGCATCAGATCATTATATTGAATTGACAAGAAAGCTCCACATGTACATGACTCCTTTTGTTTCCAAAAATCCAAGGGAAGCCTTTTACAACTACAAGGATCTTGACATTGGGATCAACCATAATGCTAATGGCATGTCAAGCTATTTGGAGGGGAGAGTTTATGGCATTAAGTACTTCAAGCATAACTTTGATAGGTTGGTGAATGTGAAGACCAAGGTCGATCCTGGTAATTTCTTTAGGAATGAACAAAGTATCCCAACTCTTCCACTCTAAAGAGGAAATAGTTATAACTAGCATTGTGATTGATTTGGTCATTGTTTAGCTTGTTTGTTATATTTTTTTTATGTATATCTTTAATATTGTTTGTAAAATAAAAAATTGTACTCTATGTTTTAATCAGCCAAAGAAATAAAAAAGAAGAAAGATATTGCTTCCAATATTGCAATTTGTTAGTACTTAATTATTACAAGTTTCAATAAAAATGTCTCCAAAAATTGAAAAATTAGTATTTTTTGGGGTTTCACTTTTCTATCTTCTTGTTAAAAAATTTACATGTTCATTTAAAGACATTCCGTCATACAAATTTAGGGGGGCTAATTAGCTTTTTCTAACTTGCTTTTATCAACATGTTGTAAAGTTGAAGGCAATATTAATAGTGATTAGTAATGTAGATAAGTAAATTGTAATGAAATTATAGAACTTAGACACAACAACAGTTGCAATTAGATTATAAATACTTCCAATAATCTAGAAATAAGTACCACTAAACTAAAATGATCACATGCAGCTTTCTGCAACCTTACAAAATGCCAACTAGAGTTACAACCATTGAAGGATGATTTGTCATATATATATTATTCATATTCATAACTTTTATTGGCTTATTATATTAACACTCCACACATTGTTGAATACACCCTACATACTTAATAAATCCTACATTTTCTTTTTCCATTAAAATTTGTCTTAATATACCCCACATACTTTTCTATAAACACCCTCACACTCCTCACTCTCAACATAAACCTTACATTTTCTCCATTCACCCCACTTTTCTTCTTACACCCCACACTCTTCACAATGATTTCGTTTTTTTTTTCTTTTCTGTGCTATGTACCGTTTGATACAAAATCATTCATGTCATACAGGTACTTTCTTACTGCTATAGAGGATTCAAATAGAGGAAAGTAGAAGCTGCTTGGGGAACCTTACAAAAATGAAAGGGTAGAAGTTTCGACATGATAGAGAGGGTTAAGAGCATAGATGGTGAGAGGAATCTGTTTGAATTTTTCTCCTTAACCTTTTTCCATATAATCAACATTGATCTGCGAGGGGGTGTATCTCAAAAATGATAATTTAGGAAATAAGATGATGATGTGAGGACCTTAGGCTCTGTAACAACCCGTCCCGATTTTATCAGAACAAATGGGGTACTTTTGTGAAATTTCACCTTGGGCTAGATCTTTTTCTTTTAAAATTGGTTTTTGGGTCTTAATTGGTGAGCACAAGGGGCCCATCCGTGAACTTTGTCCCCCGGCTCCTCTATTCTTTTGTTGCCACATGGCACTTCTTCCCCACTTTCTCTCTTTCCTCTCTCATTCCTTCATGATTCTCCCCCTCACTTTTCTCTATTTTCTCTTTCTTTCCTCATGCTCCCTCTCTCTATGCTATCTTCTCACAGTGGAACCCATACATACACACAGGCAGCAATCATCACCTATATCCTTCCTTTCTCTGCGTGTTCCAGGAAGCTAGGATCGAGGGAGGATCACCTCAACCTCCACGTGGTTACTGCCATTGTGCAAACATTCATCCGACGAGACGTAGGCAAGCCCTAGAATCCCTTGGTTAGTGTTTACATGGAATTATAGGATGAAATTGAGTAGCTTTGATAGCTATAGGATGTAGAAACACCTCGGGAGGACCTCTGCAGTTTTTCCGGTGATAAACCGTGGTCGTTTGGCCATCTTTTAGACCATTTTTCGCTAACTTCGGACACCACTCGGTCCCTACTTGGTATGATTCTCTTCTCCACATTTCTAGCTACATTTTGGCCTTTGAATCACTCAATTTGGTTAAGTAACGAAGAAGTTACGAAACTTTGAAAATTCCCCAAACCTTTGGCCAAAACCCAGTTTTCTCGACGAGCACCGCCTCTTTCGAGGCATTTTCCGGCCAAACCACGGCTATTTGGCCAGTGTTCAGGGTATCAATCTCTTCATCTCGTTGAGTACTACAACTTTGATGTTTATATCACTTGATTTGTATGAGTAATGAAGAAGTTATGAGCGTTTAAAATTTGTCCAACTTTCAGGCCGAAATCCGGCCTTCTCTTTCAATTGGGTCCGGCGACCCATGTTCTGAACTCAGACTGGGCTTTCAAGCCCAAATCCTTTTGAACCAAGCCCTTTGGGCCGTGCCAAACCTAGGGCCTTAGGCCCGTTATCCTTTTAAACCCAACCCAAATCCTTTAATCTATTTGTATTTATTTATTTAGTTTTATAAAAAAAAAACCCAAAAGAACTGGGCCGGGCCTTTAAGCCCAAGCCCCTTTTGTGCAACCTAGGGCCTTCGGCCCATTGACCCAGAACCATCAAATATGGCCTTTGGGCCTTGGAACCCTTTTATTTATTTCTATATTTTATTTGTTTGGAACTAAACCCTTAACCCAATCCTCTAACCTATTAACCCAAAACCCTTTTTAAAGTAGAAAACCCGTAACCCATTAACCCATTATCCTAAGCCCAACCTACCTAAACCTAAACCTAACACAAGTCCAAACCCTAAACCCTAGCCAGCCCAAAACCATTTATAGGGAATATTCCGTTAAGGAATCGGAATATTCTATTGACGTTTACGAAATTTAACTGGGACCCTACTTAAGGTAATTCGACGTCCTGAATCCGTTTCCGACGTCCGTTTTCCCAAATTCAATTGTTATGATAGAGTTTTATTAATTGGACCATTTATGTGCTTAGGGGCAATATTTGTGACGTTTCCGTGATTGCTAGTTTGCGTGGCTCTTCTGCGGCTAAGTATCTATGAGTGGACCCCTTTTAAAAATGCATGCTTTAATAGTAGAAATGCATACATGGAAAAGCATGATTTAATAATTATGTTCTATGAAACGCTTTGAGATAACATGCTTACTGAGGCTAGTTTGAATTATTACTATTTTTCCTATAACCCATATTCTTATAGAATATCCGATGGATGACGATATGATATTTAGAACATGTTTTGAACACCTCTTTATAGTATAGATGATGGATGACTTTATACTAGGAAGTTGTTTTTCAATATATATATATATATATATATATATATGTTCAATGGTTTTGTACTTACCAAGTGGTCATTTCCGCTACGGGATGTAGGGATAGATTCAAGTCCATCTCAGGCGACGGTTTGGTGTTGGCATAGGGCCTGGAGGGTGTTTCTTTTGGCTATTTAGCATTGGGATGGGGAGCCGACATTGGGCCTAGTGTATTTTCCTCTGACTGTCTGCTCAGGGACGAGGAGCTGGCATGAGGCCTGGAGGGTTATCGGACATTCACTAGTGATTATTATATATACAAGTTATGATTTGAGACATTGTGCGGCATGCTAGGTTTCGGAAAACCTATGTTTATCATTATATATGTGTTTTCATCAAACATGGGAGTTAGTACGTTGATAACTGTTTTACTATATATATCAACTTGGTCCACTCATGTTTGTTTTGCGCCCCCTTCAGGACTTAGAATCGAGGCATACAATCCCGACATCTAGGCACTTCCGCATCAGCATCTTCGAGTCCTCTCGGTGTAGAAACCATCCTTTGTTTTATTCAATTTTATATTATTTCTTTTAGTATTATATCTAGTTGTATGCTCTGAACACGTTCCTTAAATGCATATTCTTTATTCTTTTATATTTATAAACCTTATCTATTCCTTGTTTTCAGCATTTGCACTCAATAAATAGCTTTCGTCACCCTCGGGTGTCGACCAACACGTGCCTATCCTGGTATTCAGGGAAATATCGGGATCGGGGGCGTGTCAGATTGATATCAGAGCGTGGTTTGTTCAAAGCATACTTAGGATTCTCTTTTATTCTTGTAAAGTGTCGGTTTTGACATCATTTGGATGTCATGACTTTTAGATTTGGTGCCATTAAGCGTAGTTGTGCGAACATTTCTCTATTTGAATTGTCACATTCTGGTTGAAATATAAGAAATCTCGTGTTGGGATTGTGCCTCATCAGTGACGTGTTTGATTTGTTGGACGACTTTCAACATCAGACCAATACTCTACGACGTGCATTCACTGGGCATAGCGGGTAAAGTCAGTGTTACTTGGAAGCAACGTGTTTTAGAAATCTCAGTTTATGGAAGTCTGGTCAAGATCAGTTGTAAATCTGAAATGGCGATGCCATTCTGCGACATGCGTTCCCTATGAATGGCGAGCAGAGTCGTGTCTCTTTGGAAATTACTCGAAACTTTCGAAATGCGTGTTAGCAAAAATGTGTAAGTGTTAGTTTTGACGATGGTTAGTAAGTGGTAGTTGGTGGGAGCAAATCAATGTTCTCGAACTTATTACCACTGAAGAAATTCGTGTGGATCTTTAGAGCAATTCTCGACTATTATTCTATCGATAACCTTTTTGCTTACTCCAACAACGAAGTCAAGTTCACTAACCATTGACCGTCAACTTCACATCAAATTCTTTGAGCGTTGACTTCGTTTAGTTTATATACTTTTCTTGGGAAACTCCTCAGTAGCGAACGATATTCTCATCAATTTCCCAAAATGGAGTTGCGATTCTTGTTGTCATTGTAGTTGGACTTGGATGATGAAGATCCAGACTTGTTGGATAAACAGACTTCTTGAATTTCACTTGGGTCTGGTACTTTGTGGTAAACCTTAGCTCCTTGTTCACGTACCTTTTGGTAGAGGTGAACTTAGCATCTTGCTTGTAGCCCAATTTATCAGTGCTCTTGTCCACTAACTGTCCAGCCTTGAAATTTTCAGTGTAATGGCTTGAAACTACCATATTTATTATTGTACGAAGATTAAGCTTTACTCTGAACTTCTCTGGAATCATTGAATTTTGGTTTGCTCAAGGGCATCGCTTTAAGATAGCCAATCGTGTCACTGCATGCATACGCATGCTGCTTCGTATCTTTCTTATTTGTCATTCTGTTGATTCAGAGGTTCTATGTTTAATTTTTGAACTTTGAAGCATCTCTCACAAAGTATTGTGAATTGTGAAATGTCTTTGGCCACGTCAAATCTTATTAACAGTTCTTAACTATTATTGAGCTTAGACCTATTTTCTTTTGGCTAAGAAACCAGTCGACCTTATTATGATGATTAGCCAAATAATCATAAACAGTGACTTCTATTTCTGCATCTTCATTTTCCTTCGCTTGTTTGTTTCTCAATGTAAATTGAATC